CCCACACTGGGTGTTTGCAGAAAGCTGCTCAGGTCAGGGTGACCACAGCACAAGAAATGTCGTACTCCCTAAGCCAGAAACAAAGACTAAGGGTTGCAAACAGCAGGGCAAGTGATAAACACAGTAACCAGAGGACAAGGCAATGAGCAGGTACAGAAACAAGAATTCCAATATTAATAGCTAACATGGGCCAAATTAAATACTAGTTTTGATCTCCTCTGTCACTCATTGGTTTTCTTATTCATTCAATAAAATTAGCAAACCCTTATTATTTACTATATTGTGATCTAAACCCCTGAGGTAGAGCAGTGAGCAAGGCAGACAAAAATATTCTATGCCTTCAGGGAGTTACAGGAAGTGCCAAGACACAAAAAAGTAAAATACAGAGAATGTCAAATGGGAGTTAAGTGTTAATAGAGTAAAATTAAGCAGGGAATGAGATCCCGTCTAGAGGTTGAAGAAGGGGACTTAGTTACTTCCCAAAAAGATGTCAATGTTTGGCTTCCAGTTTTAACGTGATCCCTTTAAAAAGGAAGTCATCATCTCCTCTCCAAAGAACTGTTATAATTATGTTAAAGTGGCCCCAGAGCAACTACAGCATTCAGAAAGTAAGAAAACCAAGGATTTTATGGACCAGAAAGAGTCCATTTGAGAAGGGACAAATTGAAGATCCAGTAATAGCCACTCCTCCGGATCCTGCACTGCACAATTCTCAGTCCATATACACCAGTATCTTCTTTTAATCCTCACAGCCAACTAATGAGAAGGCTAACATCCTCTTTACCATTTAAGGGACGAGAAAATGGAAGCACAGAGCAATTAAGAATCTGGCCCAAGGTAACTCTTGTGCTAAATGTTGGTATCTGTTGGGATTTGACCCAGAGTCCACACGCTCATACTTTTTAAATAAATGTTCACTGATGGGCTGAAGTTTCCTTGTGCCAATGCTTGTTTCTTTTACCCTACTGAAGATCTCCTTTTCAGTACTTTACTTTTTTCAATGCCACCAATCATCAAAAAAGGAAGAATGGGTCCATATTGGCACTGTCTTCTTTTCTCAAACCATAAAAGTGGATGGCAATGAACTATTTAAACACCTCAACTATTTAAACACCAGTTCCTGGATCCAATTAAAAATTACTTTCTTAGGGTCCTCCATGGTGGCACAGCGGCCTGGAGTGCCACACTGAGAAGCTAAGCCAAGCCGTGGCCACTTCAGTGCGAGTTCGATCCCCATCTCAGAGGTGACCCACATGGCACAGCAGACCTCTCCTGTCTCCCCCACTGCTCCCCTCAGCCATGTACTTTGTCAATCCCCACTCTGTCTCTGGTGAATCTTCTTGCCCCTGCACCTCTGGCCTGTATCCCATTTCTGGATTCATAAATAAACAAAATCTTTAAAAGAAATTACTTTCTCAGAGTTGCATTTTAGGCTCAATAGCTCTAAAACAAAGAAGAGTTGAACATTGCCAATTTCTATCAATAGGTGTCATCTCAAACTGAACACAGCCCAGGGAAAATTGATTGTCCCACATCACACACACACATTCTTCCCCTATGACTCCCATCTCCACCACAGATACCTCAACCTACCAGTTTTTCAAGCCTACAAACATGAGTTTTCCTTGAGCCCTCTCTTTCTCGCACTGCCACATCCAATCACTTAGTACTTTCTGTCCTTTCCATTCCAAATGAGTTCTTTCCTCTATTGCTCTTGTCCTTCCAGCCCAAAAAGCTAGCCTCACTTGCCCAGATGACTGTGATGGGCTCCTAATTGGTCTCCGCCTCCCAATCCTGCCCCTTGAAAAATCTCATCTCCGCACCTTAGCCAGAGCAAACTATTTAAAGCATACACCACACAGTGGCACCTCCCTGCCTAAAGTCCTCTGGGCAACAGGAACACCGTCTTAAACTCTGTTCCTGCAGTCTACCAGGCGCCCTGTGATCTGCACTGGCCTGCCTCCCCAGCTCTTGGAGTTCAGTCCTCCCTTCACTCCATATGAAAATCTGAAAGATGACTGGAACAGTAGTGCTCTAGATTAGAAAACCACACATTGAACAAAAGTGAAGGATGAGATAATAAATATATTTAAAAAGTGGAAAATGAGACTAGCAATAAGGATACTACATTCAGACAAAAAGATTTCCATGAATACTTGCCTTCACTTCATCTTTCAAAAAACTTGTTATCATCTTCGTAAACAATTGCCACTTCCTGAAATGTTTTTATCCGTTTGTTTAGATGCATTTACTCTTTAACATCATCCTTAAAAATCTATACCATGCCATTTATATCTGAAATTTTTTTAGAGAACTATAATATAATAATGAAAGAGCCCTCAGTGCATATTTTCCCCCTGTCTGATGATGTCACATTCTCTGGGGCAGAGAGAGTGAGCCATGTGTCCCAGGGAGTGTCCCCTGAGTGTCCCACAACAAGTTTCTATAACCTTTATGTCATTAATTTGTGTTCTGACATAAAATGCCTTCCTAAGAGCTTAGTGATGGAGCTCACAGTAGAATTTGATACTGAGTATTAACATAAAAGTTTTACAACAACTTGCAGAGATAAAGGGGACACCAGAGTAAACACTACTACTTGATGACTGGTGTTAAATCCTGGGAGCTAGTAAAGGGCGTTAGGTAGCCCAGGAAGACTCACCAAAAACTTTGGGCAGGAGATTCTTCATTACCAGCAGACAACTTAAACTGTCACGGAGGATGCCAAGAGGCATCAAATGAAGGCAACATGAATTGCTTACTCCACCTATTTGCACTAAGGCATTCCCTGGACTAGGGAAGTGTGGGCTCCTTTTACTTTTCAATTCACATCTGCCTGTTACAGCATGAGAAGATGCCCATGTGTTTTATTCACTGGCATAGTGAGGACAAGCCAAACAATGCCTGCCACACAGTAGGTCCTGAATAAATACCGTAATGAACAACTGAGTGTGTTTTCAAGGTTTCCCTGTTTACTGCCTTCCCTCTTCCTTTTCATAAATCTAGATGTCCCTTTATTAGATCCCTTTCTAAGAAAACTTGTGAAAGAAAAGTAGCAAACACATGGCCATCAAACAGCTTCTGCGTGCACTAAACGGACCCTAAGCCACAGTTCAGAGGACAAGGAGGTGGAAGACACAGATTCTGACACTGAACATTAGTCATGAGAAAAGAGAGAAGCTTTTCCAGTTGGAAATAACTTCAACCACTGAGAGTCTACTGTGGCAAGAATAAATATTAGCTGGCAGCTATAAACTGCAATAAACAAATTCAATAAAGATGTAATCTCAGTAGTGTACACAGTACCACATTTCACCTCTGTAGCCTGCAATCATGTAGGTATTTGTGTTATTACTGCTATTATTATTTATTAAGTTTGCCTTTTCTCAATCTGGCCTCCAAAATACCCCAGTGGATTTAAAATTATTCAAAAAGCACGTGTTACTCCAATTCCTCCCAAATCCACTATAAAGAATAAATCCTTTAATATACACTGCAGGTAAAAATACCATCCTCAAGTAAAATAACTGTAATCCAGAGCAAAGCTCTGCTGGCCTCATAATCTACTTGGGAAAAAGTATTAAAAATGATTGTCCAATACACAAATAAAATTCTGTCACTGACAAGGTAACCTGAGGTGCTATTAACAAGACACAATTACCAAGATGACAAATCATATTGTGTCATGTCTCTTTCATCTTTCACACACTACCTATTTTTTCAGCTTTCAAGAACTGAAGAGGGAAAAGGTAAGGCAAGAGCAGACACTGGGGATATTTTGAGAAATAAAAAGATTTAAAAGTACAACTTCTACTAACATAGTAGCAGATCTCCAAGGAAACGCAGGCAGCTGGGAACGTTCTCTACCTATAATATCAAGATAGAAACACTGGTTCCCATACTTAAGCAGTCATCTTCCTGGTTGGATTCCATGTTTCAGCTGGAAGCAATCTAAACATTTCCAAACAACCTACAAGGAGAAATGGCCAGGTAATCTAATCCAACCAGCAGAGATCAGCAAGAGCTCGCAGAGTGCAGTTCAAACCTCACAAGCATCCTTAAGAGCCCCTGGTCCTAACATCTAAGGGGTATTAAAGGTAGGACAAAAGATTTCAACAACCTCTTCAAAAAGTCCCACGGTGGTAGCATGGACATTTGTATTTCCTTCTGGTTTATTTTAGAAAACCAAAGTAAAACTATAAACTGCGGCGTTTCACACATCTGCTCCTTTCCAGTTGGCCTCATTAGTCCAAACACTACCACCAACTCAAGTGCCCTGGGAGTTCCTTCACACAATATCCCCATCTTTACACGTGTCCATTACTAGGCTTCCCAACAGCGAGAGCACAAGAGCAGAGAACTTCAAAAGGCACCTAAAGGGGCAAGATAAAATAATAACAAAATGACACTGTAATGTAAGTAGCAGACTGCCCATTTCCAAGGGGGAGTGGGCGGTAAAGAAAAAGAAAACTAAACTTCTGTTGCAGTGATGGAGGTGCCAAGCCACCAACTGCAGAGGGGGTAGCAGGCTCGCAGGAAGGCACAGAGGCTAAGTGGCAGATTTCTGTTACTGGTGATGTAAAGTTTCGCATTAACTGTGTTAGGGATTATTGCCGTGATGTATTAACGCTTATCCATCCAAGCGTAAAGCACGCCCCCTCTGTCTCCCTTTCTCAGCTATTCAGGGGTGCTGGAAGCCGCTAGCAGGCCCGGCCCGGGGACCAGCGCGTTCCTCTTGCTTCTCCAGTCCCTGCAGGTGCCAGCACAGACAAAAACCCAGGGCTTTTGCTTCCCTCTCTGCCGCTGTGGTGCGGTCCTGGGTGGGGTCACTACGCACCCCGAGCTGGTCATTCCACCTGGAGAGGGACAGGGAAGCAAGAAGGGCACCCGTGCGGAAGCAACACCCCGTTTGCCAGTGGCACAATCGCGCGCGCACACACTCACACACACTGAGCGGCGCCGGGAGGGGCGCGCAGTGGCGCGGGCGGCGGGCGCGTTACCTGTTCTGCCAGCCCTGGAGAAGGTTGGTGTATTTGCTGAGCACGCCCTCGAGCGCCGGCTCCTTCCTGCGGCCACCTCCTCCGGACGGGCTAGCAGCCACCGAGCCCGGACTGCTGCGGCTGCCCCCGCCGCCAAGCCCGGCCGCCACCGACCGGCTGGAGACCCCCCGGCCCGCCAGGGAGCAGGAGGGCGAGGAGCCCGCCGAGGTGGCGCGGCTGCTGCTGCGGCTGCTGCTATTGCTGCCCCCGCCGTCTGCGCCCTGGGCCGCCCTCTCCATGGTCCGTGCGCGCCCGGGACGCGGGTGCCCGCCGCGGTGGCGGCCGCAGCGCTGGAGCTCCTGGCGCAGCGGCGGCGACTGCTGCTGCTACGGCCTCGGGCCCCCGGCCGCGCGTGGCTGTTCCAAATCCCCGGGAAATGCCTGACTCATACAGGAGGAAGAGGAGGAGGCGAAGGAGAGCTGGGAAAGAAGCCAAGCGGGCTGGATGCAGCTGCGGCCGCCCCTCCTCCTGCCGCGGCCCCAGCCCGGGCCCCTCCCTCCGCACTACTTTCCACGGCAAGTTCCGAGCCGGTGGCGGTTTCGTGAGCAGCCCTCCGATGCCTCCTCCGCTTCTTTCCCGGCCCAGCGGCCGCTCCGACGCGGGGGCCGGGGGCGCCCCCGGGCACCGATCCGCAGAGTGGGCACGCCCTGAATCCACGCCCTGTCACCCTTCGCGTTCCTTCTGCCGCCCCCTCTCGGCTCTGAAGGGGCAAAAGGGAATCTCCGCGCGTCACCCCTGCCCCCTACCCACCTCGGGACTTGGAGGGAGGGGCGGCCCCACCCACCCAGTCCACCCGGATATGGACCCGCCCCGCCTAACCCAGACGCACGCACACACGGTCCCTCTGTGCCGCACCCCGACTGGGCCACACGCGTACACTGTAACCTGAAAATCCACCTCCCAGACCGAGCAGAGTAACAGGACAGTGAGGTCCTCCGGGTTCTCCGGCGCGGGGGGTGGGGGTGGGGCCGAGGGGGGGGGGGTTGGGCCAGTGATTCTCTCTGTCAACTGGCCCTGAGCTTTCTCACGCGGCGGAGTTATGAGAAATGCTTAAGAACACCAGAGCCCGACCAGAGTGAGGCGAGAGAACGCGCAGGTTTCTGCACGTGCTTTCTTAAATCGAGTGTTCTAGGCGCTGCACTTGCCTCACCCTGATCCCCCACACATAAACCTGTCGGGTCCGAGCCAACCCGGTGTTGTCATATAGCACCAAGCACCTGAGAACCAGACTAGTGGCTGGGATTGTTGAAGGCAAAGGAAATCAACAGATATTTACAACACAATGAAGGAGTCTCTGTGGGTTTTAACTTCTGCCCCCCCACCCCCATCCCAAGATAAAGTGAGAGGCAACCATGTGTCTAAATCTGAAATTGTTGCTCCTTAGCAAAAGCAAATAGGTGGGTTGCGCCTTCACAACCCCTGCAATAATTTCTGTGGTCATAAAAATTCAAGGTAATAAGGAAGTTTCTAACATTACCTAGAGGAGTTCAGGTACACAGTGAAGACAAAGGCTGATGGGGTGAGAGGTGATCCCTAGCCAAATGATCTGCAAGCCCATGAAACAGATAAATAATTCAACAGGTTAAAAAAAAGATTCTAAATGGAGTAGAGTCAGTTCTCAAGGGAACTGTTCCCCCAAGCATTTAGATCACATTCTTTCAGGGAACTCCCAAAAGTGATTCAGCTCTAGAAATTTTCATCAAGAAATTTCTGAGACTGCCGAGAAGGGGTACTAGGTGTTGTTGGGAGTGACTAAAGATTTACTGACAAGGATTGAATTAGGGTGGTAAAGAATTGAGCCTTGCATCCAAGCTTGATAAGGTGGTAATAAACTGACCTTGCATCCGGGATGGGACTAGTTGAAGGTGACAACGAACTGGGCCTCACATCAAGGACACAGCGATGAGTCACCTCTTTGAAATCTGAGCTTAGGGCCTATATAAGAGACCCTTCCCCCTAACTGAGTTGGCAGTAGCTGCGGACCCTACTCTAGGGGCTCCATCTCAGCTGCTGCCTCGGAGCAATAAACTCTGCTTGCTCAGCCTTTCTGCCTCCGTCTTTCTTTCCTGTCTCCGCCGGTCACAGAAGCCGGGACAAAACAGGTGTAACTAAAGAAAGTTCACTCAAAGGAGACTATGCTAGAAAGGAACAATATTGCAGCCAGAAATTTGCTAATCTCTCAGGTTGATTTTTTTTTTCACCTGAAAAATGGAGCTAGGAATTCTGTAACAGAGTGGTCCCTAGGAAAAAGGGAAGTTCCAGGTTCCCTGCCCCACCCAGAAGGAGGGTGGAGCTGAGCTGAGAAAAAAGGAGAGAAGACGAGGGAGAAGAAGAAGAGAATGAAGCAGGATGGAGACCCAGGAGACCTGAGGAAGCCACATGGAGCAGCAAGCATGTGATGAAGAAACCGTGCTTGTTTTCGTGACCCTGGACTGGTTAAGGCAGATGTGGGTGAGAGACCTGTAGGGAGGTGACTATGGCAGTGTTTATATTGATTTTGATTGTGCTCTTTTCCTCCCAGATTTGTCTGGCCATTTCTGACCCTTTTCCATGGGTCCTGGCCAGAAGGTGCTTTAGTCTTGTGGCGACTTTCAGGCCTTGCTTTGGGCCAGTCCCTTTTGGGTTGACTTTTGCCCACGAGGGGATGGGTCACTTCAGGTGTTTGATTTAGAAGTTATATTCTTTGTGTTCCGTATTGTATATTTACTGTATTAAAGTCCCTTTTCATTAAAGTTTTATATGTTTTGTCTTGTTGCGGTGGATGGCAGAACCCACTTAGAGCAGGCAGGTTTTTTGGGGCTACAGGGGTGCCTCTCTCCCCCTGTCCTCTAACAGAATTGAGGTGCCCTATAACAGATTTTGTCCTATAACAATTCTACTGACTGTGATGAACTATGTGAGAAAATATATGTGTACAAATATTTTCTGCCTCTTCCTATGGCATGAGTAGCTTCCCTCCACATTAACCTCAGGCTTGGTCATGGACTTGCTGTAGCAGTGGAATGTGAACAGATACAATATATGCCTCTTTCAAACATAAACTCGAAAAGCTTCAGTGATGGGACACAAACGAGGGCAAGGGACACTGGGCTTCACTCCTCCATATCCTCACAATTGTAACAGCAAAGTCAACAACCCCTGAAAGATAAACCAATGACTTCTGCACACATCAGGAGCCCTGGTCTCCTGGAGAGGGGTGGGAAAAGCTGTAATTAAACTGTGTTTGCTGTCACACCAGGCACTACAACTCAGAGGAAGGACAGGTGGCTGCTGGGCCAAGGCAGCTCTGCTTATTGTTGACTCAGGAGCACGCACCACATGGGGGATGTTGGAGATCCAACACTGCATGAAGGAGGTACTCTGCTACAGAACTCTAGGCGCAGAAGCGCAGAGTGATTATTGGGTTGAGCTTGTCCGCAATCTAGAGTAGTTGGAGCCTGAGCCTGAGGGAAACTCAGCTCAGATGGCCTTTGTGTCCTCCCAGGAGAGGTTACTGCCTGCAGCCTGAGGCTGTAACATCCCAAACACCTGCCTTATCCCATCAACAGCCAAAAGCAAGACCACCAAATGTTTTCACTAACAAGAGCTTAAGCACACCTGGTCTTAACAGAAGCAAGCTTTTTGGGTAAGGCTCCATACTAGAAAGCAAAGAGAACAATTCCTGATTCTTGGCCCTATCTTGATGACAGCACTCAGCAATACTGCATATAGTGCTCAAGCACAGCCTAGAGGTTGAGGCTGGTAGAAGATTATATGAGAAACGCATAGTCTAAAGAGTTGGCCTAGGGGAAGGAGTAGCTGTGGGCCCACCACAAACTCAGGAACTCACAGCAGGGTAGGAAGCCTGATCCTCGATGCTCACTGGAGGTGACATTTTAGGGTTCTACTGCCCTGATTCTTTCCTATGTTACTCTTTGCCAGCACTGGTCTGCACAACAGCACAGCAGTCTGAAATAATAGGCACCTAAAATCCTGCACCAAAAACCTAGGATATGCCCAGTTTCTTGTGATTGGTATATAAGCCCAGTTTACCAAGGTAAGAAAGGGAAACTGCCCATCACATACTATACACTCCCTACCCACAAAAAACTGAAAAGGAAGGGACAGAGGAACATTATCATAAATGCTGGAGCAGCTCAATCCAGAAGAATTTCAGCATATGCCTGAAGACGAGTTTAATAGTCATAACCATGCTTGGTAAATTAAGAAATACAATAAGGGAAATACAACAGGAACACAACAAAAATTGAGAAAATATGAGAGCACTACGAAAAGAAATGGATCTCAAATATACTGTAACTGAATTTAAAAACACAATAGATCTCAACAGTAGACAAATGCAAGTAATGGAGAGAATTAGTGGGCTTGAAAGCAGTTTTAAAGAAAAACAGAACAAGGAGAAAAAAGAATGAAAAAATTTAAATCAGATTAAGAGTTATTTAAGATAATCCAAAGAAAAATACATTCATATCATGAGGTTCTCATAAGGAGAAAAGGAGAAGGCATAGAAAATGTATCTTTTCTTAAAGATTTATTTATTTATGCATACAGAACTGGGGTACAGGCTAGAGGTGCAGGCCAGAGACAGCGCAGGAAGCAGAAAAAGCAGTGCAATGAAGTACACTGCTGAGGGGAACAGCAGGCGAGGCAGGAGAGGTCTGCCGTGCCATGTGGGTCACCTCCTTGGATCAAACTCATGCTGCAGCTGTTGCAGCTAGCTTCGTAGTGCTGTGTTTTAACCTGCTGTGCCACCAGGGAGTACTCAGAAAATTTATCTTAAAAAAAAATTGTGAGGGCTTCCGTGGTGCCTAGGGTTCAAGTTTCAGCGCTATCACAGTGATGGCCTGAGTTTGATCCCCTGCCAGGGAGCAAACCTACATATGGCACAGCAGACCTCTCTTGTCTCACAGCTGCTGCCCATAGTGGTGTATTTAAGTAAATTCACCTGTTCTGTTCCCCACCGTCTCTGAATCCTCTCACCCTCTGCAAATCTGGTCTATACCTGTTGGGTCCCAGCCTGGATGAGCCTCCCCAACCACCCCTGGAGCTTAAGCAGAAGATCATAACAGGAAGAAAAACATCCTGTTTTGTCTGCCACCTGTGTGTGTTGTTCAACCTGTGAGCGGCTGGTCAATATCTGCCCTGAGCGGCTGGTCAATATCTGCCCTGATCCCGCAGTGAGGTATGTGAGGCAGACTTCCTCTGGCTCCCAGGCCAACACCCTGGAACTAAGAGTATGAAAGGGAGGCTGGAGAGAAAAATAAAGAGACATTTTGCTGCAACCATCTATGTGAGCTGCTTCTTCAACCTCAACCCTGCCGTGCAGGCGCGGCATATACCCCAGTTCTACACACACACACACACACACACACACACACACGCAAATTGCTGAGAACCATCTCAATCTAGGAATTATTATAAACAAGATGTCCTCAGTCCAAAAGGTTCATGAGCACCAAACGAAATATTACCAGAGCAACATACATTGAGATATAGTAAAAATGTTGAAAGTCAATGACAAGGACAAAATATCAACAGCCTAGAATACCAATTGTCCTTGGATTTTTTGGTGTAAATCTCACAAACAAGGAGACTATGGTATCAGATACCTAAAGTGCTCAAAGAAAAATAAGTCCAGCCTAGAATCCTTTACCCTGTAAGAGTAACATTCAATATAGAAGAAGGTAAAGAACGTTAATAAAGGGCAAAAATTAAAAGAACCTATCAATACCAAGCCAAACACACACAAAAGTAATATTAAAGGGGATATTATAAAGCAAGAAAGGAACACGCATAAAGGTGACAAGCACCTAAATCATATAAATGGGGGAGGGGGAGAGTAATAATGGGGGTCATCAGAATAAGTTTGAGATCAGAACGCCCAATGGGTCCAAAAATAGTCTATCATACACCACCTTTGGCAGAA